TTGTCCATAATATAACTCGATCAGCAATATAATTCGGTTCCTTAGTTAATTTCATGACTCCTCATTTGATCATTGAATTTTAAGGTGGTTTTAATTGATTATTTGTTGGAAAAATAGAGTATTATATTTTGGTACCGTGTAATAAAACATAGAAAAATGTGAAAATTATAATACTTCATATCACAATATGTGTATTAGATACATTTTTTTTTTTACAAAATCATGTATTAGTAAGTTGAGCTTCGTATAAAACTTGTGAGATAAAGAAAGTTAAACAAGTCACTCAGGTTGCTAATGAATAGACTATCTAACATTTTTCTATTGAATGTTGTTTCGAATAGCACTAAGAGAAAATCAAAGTTTTAAAAGAAAGCTTGGAAACAAGTTTCTTCGCATCGGAAGTCTTTAGCTTGCCTAAAGATGTGTAGCTAGGTTTTTGTGATCTAAACATGTTTGTGTGTAAGTATGTGGTTAGTTCGCAGATAATCGATATTTAATAAAAGTAAAGATAGACCCAAAAAATTTTTATAGTGGTTCGAGAAATACTTTCTACTTCACTCTTCTCCTTAACCCAAGGAGGTTCCACTAAATATAATATTGTTACAAATACAAAGTGATGAAAAGCCAACATGGCTTCTTCTGAGTTGATAGTCATTGAAATAGGGGTTAGCCACCATTCCACCAAATCGCCCTACTCTTCACTATCTGATCAAAGCTAAGCTAGCCAAGGGTTACACACTAAGTCATCTTACTAGAATAATCTTTCAACTTCATCAATGGAAAGATGGTAGTTTGATGAGTGCTGGACTTTGAGAAATCAAGCAAATTTCTTTCAAGCTTAGAACCCAATGAGAACTTTTGAGTGTAGGTATTTAGCAACTGAATCAACTTGTAATAAGCTCATATATGCTTTTTTTATCAACCTCTATCTTCTCAGCTTGCAGTCCTCCTTTTACAGATGAGGAGGGATGAATGTCAACTTGAATTTGAATTTGTCCATTATTACTCAACATGTGGTAATCGTTCAAAAACTGTCATAATCACCTAAAATTCATTGCCATATCCTTTAACTTCTGTAGCTTGATTATTCATGTTGTAAATATTGTTTCCCAATTTAAGCATATAAGTACTCCATCATAAAAAAGAATTGCTCCTACTTATCACCAATTTGTTTTATGCATAGATTTTTAGTTGTCAGACAAGTTACAACTATCCAATGGCTCTTTTGTTTTTCCTTAATGAATTTCTTCCGAGGTTAATTTGTCTCCTATGAAGATCCCTCAAGACTCTTCTGGTCTTGGACTTCTTCCGATCCCCTTTCCTTCCAGACGCTTCCTTTCGAAGCCTTTCCTTTTGATTGCCTTCTTCCAAAGTTGCTTCTTCCTAGATGGATGGATGACGAATCTTGTCTAGATTTACAATAACAAAGAGTGATCTAAAGTGCTTATACAATACTCTTTACATCAACAAAATCTATTATAAATAATTCCTAACACATTGAATAGTTGTTGGGAATTTATCGTAAACCAAAAAGAAAAAGGCAACCTTAATGTCTACAAGAGAACTACTATAATTGCTTAGCATCACATTTGGAACATTTGAACTCATGACTAATTAAATAAAGTAAGACTGCCAAGACCTTGTGGTCTAGTGGCACCAAATTACACTCTAATATGGGAGGTTGTGGGATCGAATCTCTACTTTAGTAGAGGCGGTGTGGAGGCGGTGCTTCAATAGGTTGAGAAAGTAGTTAATAAAGTAAGACTAATAATGAATCGAGTGGAAAAAAATGCATTAATAACATCTTAGATCCGAGTCTTGTAATTTTCAAAAAAAAAAAAGATCCGAGTCTTGTAAAATTTAAAAAAAAAAAAAATCGTTGTTAAAAGATAGTTTCCATGTAAAATACATTAATTTCAAGTTACTTAGAAATCTAGGGCGACTCTTAAAAAAATTGTAAACATTAAGGCAAAAACTTGTAAAAATGTAATACTTTACATTTTGATTTAAAAGTATTATATTTTTCCACATGAGTATTACATTTTCTCTTAGAGTTAATTTCATTTTTTATCCTAAATTTATATATGACAATCCATTTTTAGTCAATTTTCTTCAAAACATCCTCTTTGGTCCTAGTATTATTGTGGTATGACCATTTTTGGTCCAACATCAACAAAACTATCTAAATTCTGTAAAATACAAAAGCATTTAGGTCTTTAATTATGAATTTTTTTCAAACAAATAAAAATAAAAATATAATGGGTCAACCCACTTCGTATAAACAAAGATTGAAATGTTTTTGTATTTAACGACATTTAAATGATATTGTTGACGAATGACCAAAAATGATTATGCCACAATAATACTAGGACCAAAGGAGATGTTCAGAAAAAGAAACACTAAAAGTAGACTGTCACCTATAAATTTAGGATAAAAAATTTAATTAATTTGTTTCTCTTATAAGTAACAAACACTTTCCAACATTACTTATACAGGAAAGTATAATACTTTTACATTAAAATATAAAAGTATTACATTTTTTCCTCAAAAATATTACAATTTCCTTTATAAGTAACCTACACTTTATTCTTTATTAGTATTACGTTTTTCGATATAAATATTACATTTTCATATTCACTTGAACCAACCTGACTTAACTCACGCAAATATGACCCAAACATTAAATTTTCAATACAAATTTTATTTGATTAGGACATGTCATCAATGCATGCTTTAATTTCTTTATTAGGCATAATAATAAACGCAAAATTATATATTTAAATTATTTATGGATAATGTTGAAATGGTGAATGGAAGATGTTTGAAGTAAACTTATTAACGGTTTCTACGTTCACATTAAGGAAATGTCTTTGAATAGCTCTTTTAGAATCTACTGAAAATTTGGCAATACCTCTTCTAACTTTAGGGGTGTATTCAATAAAGACATTTATAGATTTTAATTTTAAAAAGTCTTAAAATGATGAATTTTAAATGATTTTTTATAAACAATTTCTAGACTTTATTAAAAAAAAATTTAAACTTTTATCAACTTTATACGAGTCTATCAAAATCGGTAAGACAAACATTTAAAAACTTTTAAAACTTTTTTCATATTATTAAAAAGTCTATAAAAGTCATTAACTAAATTGAATACGCCCTTATAAATATTAGGACTCTATTATCCATATTAAGCTAGGACTATATTATTCGTATTAGACTAGGATTCTATCTAGCATCTCTATATATTCGCTCCCTGTACTTTCAGACATTATCATTGAATATAAAGAAAATATATTCTCATATGGTATCAGCTAGGTTTTTCCATGGAAAATATCAGTGTTAATGACGGCTCTATTCTTGGTTCCTCTGAACGGACTGCTACCGAGATTCCTACGATGCTGCGAGTGTTAGCCTCTCATCGGCTCATCACTTTGTTTCGTTAAAGTTAACCTCCCGGAATCATCTATTCTGACGGACTCAGATGCTTCCGTTTCTTGAAGGCCAACATGGTGTCCAGAAAGAAGCCTGATTTTATTTTTCTTATGGAGACTAAGGTGGCGCGTATACATGCTGAGCGTATTCGTGTTAAGCTTGGTTATGAAGGTCTATTCTATGTTGATAATGTACGATTGAGTGGAGGTCTAGCGTTACTATGGAAGAAGAATAATACGGCGAGATTGTTGGGTTACTCAAGGACCCATATTGATGTGGAGGTGAGTATTAATGGTTTTCCAAATTGGAGAATGACGTGTTATTATGGTTATCCACAGCGATCAAGGTGGACAGAGTCATGGGATCTACTTAAAAGTTTGGCAACACGATCTGAGTTACCATGGATTGTGATTGGCGACTTTAATGATCTTTTATATCAGTATGAGAAGAAGGGTGGAAACCCACATTCAAATAGCCTCCTACGCGGATTTGGGGAGACCATTGAGCAGTGTGGATTGTCCCAGTTACCGATGAATGCTACCAGTTTACATGGGAAACTGGTAAGGGCACCCCGGATTGGATTCAGGAAAAGCTAGATAAAGTATTGGCTACAGATCGATGGCGGGATATTGTAAATGGAGCCTCAGTGACCAATTTATTAACAAGAAAATCGGATCACTCGGCAATTTTTATGGCCATTCGACATTATGGAGCCAGGAAAGGGGGAGGAAGGATATTTCGTTTTGAAATGGCATGGCTTTATGATGAGGGGTGTAGGGCAGTAGTGGCGGAGTCATGGGAGGAAGGAAAGGGTGGTGGCACACAGAGTTGCATTAAACATTGTGGAAATTGCATGTCCCGATGGGGTGGAGATCGTTATCACAAATTTGGGGAGAAAATTCAGCTGCTTCGTAAAGGGCAGGAGCGACTACGAGGATGTACTGATCCAACTTCCCTAGTTGAGTACAATCGGCTGGAGGAGTCCTTATCTCGATTGGAGATCCAGGAGGACGTATATTGGAGGCAGATGGCCAAGCAGCACTGGCTCAAGGATGCTGATGCAAACACCAAATTCTATCACAGGTATTCCTCTCATCGAAAAAGGAAAAATACTTTACATAGACTTATGAATGGTGGTGGGGAATGGGTGGAGGGAGATGATATGTCAGGTGTAGTGTTAGATTATTTCAAGCAAATCTTTGCGACAGATAATCCAATGAATGGTGATCTTATATTTGATAATGTTATGCCACGAATGACTCAAACACAGAACAAATGGCTAATTCGGCCATTTGAGGTGGATGAAGTTAAGTCTGCTCATGTTTTCAATGTTCCCTGATAAAGCACCAGGCCCGAATGGAATGAATCCAGGTTTTTATCAGAATTTTTGGAATATTGTAGGTAGGGATGTTTCGAATTTTATTGTCAATTGTTTGAATACGTGATCATTCCCCCCGGGACTCAATGACACTGATGTGGTGTTAATTCCAAAAAAAGAAACTCCGGAGTTGGTCTCTGACCTTAGACCGATTGCACTCAGTAATGTAATTTATAGAGTTATTGCTAAAATGATGACTCAGAGAATGAAGCCCCTGATGAATGATATTATATCTGAGTCACAAAGTGCATTCATATCTGGTAGGTTGATTACGGATAATATCTTGGTGGCCTCGGAGGTAGGGCATTATTTGAACAGAAAGCAGTGTGGGGTGGTAGGTTGGAGTGTTCTGAAATTGGATATGGCCAAAGCCTATGATCGTATGGAATGGCCTTTTCTGAGAGGTATGCTTGTGGCACTAGGTTTCCATGTAAAGTGGATTGATCTTATTATGATGTGTGTCTCTACAGTTTCATATAGCTTTTTGGTGAATGGAACACGAAGTGATGCAATTATGCCAACTAGAGGATTGCGGCAAGGTGATCCGTTATCTCCCTTTCTGTTTATTATTTGTGCTGAGGACCTTTCATTGTTATTACAGAAAGCACAAGATAGGGGCCTAATACATGGGTGCAGGGTAGCGCGTGGTGCCCCCGCTGTTTCACATCTTTTCTTTGCTGACGATAGTTTACTATTTTTTAAAGCAACTGTTCAGGAGGCTACTGAGATAAAGAACTGCCTATCACTGTATGAGGAATTGTCTGGACAGAATGTCAATTTTCAGAAATCTAGTATATGTTTTAGTAGGAATACAACTGATGAGGAGAGAGATAATGTGGCGCAGGTGTTGGAAGTAATACAGGCTCCTAACTTTGGAAAGTATCTTGGTTTGCCATCATTTATTGAGAGAAATAAGAAAGCAGCATTTTCTTACATTGAGTATAAGATCCGGCAAAGAATAGGATCTTGGAATAAGAAATTGTTATCACAGGCAGGTAAGGAGATCTTATTGAAAAGTGTGGCCCAGGCTATGCCTACCTTCTCAATGAGTGTTTTTTTATTGCCAGTGTCTGTCTGTACCGCCATTGAGCGTCTTATGAACCGGTATTGGTGGGGATCTGGGACTGATCGGAAGATACATTGGATAGCTTGGGATAAGCTATGTCTCCCTAAGAAATATGGTGGACTGGGTCTTAAAGATCTTAAAGCTTTTAATGTGGCTCTTTTGGGAAAGCAGGCATGGAGATTGCTTACCAACACGGAATCATTGGTCTCAAAAGTTTATAAAGCCAGATACTACCCTAGACACTCGTTTATGGAAGCAGAACTGGGGAATAATCCCAGTCATTGCTGACGGAGTATTATGGCTGCAAAAAGCCTAGTCTGTAGTGGTGTGAGAAGGAGGATTGGGAATGGAAATTCTACCTCTGTGTGGAAGCATCCCTGGTTACAAGATGAGGAGGATCCCATGATCTAAACAAAAATGCCGCCCCAGCTGACTGATGCTAGAGTAGCCAACTTAATTGATCAGGGGACAGGAACATGGGATTATCATTTACTTACTGATATTTTTGAGCCTAATGATGTGACAAGAATCTTAAAAATACCAGTCTCCCAGGAGTATGAGGACCAATGGTATTGGCATGGGGATCCCAATGGTTGCTACTCAGTTAAGAATGGGTACAGAAGTATTGTTGGAAATCATGAGAGTAGTATGAATTCGGGATTTAATAAATGCCTCACTTTATGGAAACAAAAAATACCGCCAAAATGGAGAACTTTTCTATGGAAGGCCATAAGTGATATCCTCCCCACTATACAACTTGCGTATTAAAAGGGTGGATGTGAGTCTATTGTGTGCCGTGTGTGGAGTAGAGAATGAAGATATTATGCATGCATTGGTTTTGTGTGACTATGCTAAAGCCATTTGGACACAATCTAACCTACCATTACCAAACATTGTGACAAATATTTTTTATGAATGGTTTGATGAATTGTTGAATATTCTAGACTGATGGAATTCTCTACGCAGCTGCAATACTATACTATCTATGGAAAGCCCGGAATGGAGCAGTATGGACGCTTGTTTGGCTTATCCGAGGAAAACGTTGGCTATGGTCCATGCTGCGGTAAGTACGTGGCGCCAAGTGCATCTAGCTCCACCGAATTCTGCTGCTCTAGATGTTGCTGCCGCCAACCAACCTATAGGATCACTTACTGCCATGCAACTAAACTCAAACCATCCATTTGGACAACGGCAACAACACAACAAATGTTACGTGGATGTAGCCTATCACGATGGATCCAATCTAGCTTCGGTAGGTGCGGTGCTTATGGGAGAGGATGGTCATTTTGTCTCAGCTTTCGTTGCGCCACTACCATATTGTTATTCACCATTAATGGCAGAGGCATATGCTTGCAAGGAAGCCCTATCATGGCTACGTGATCGAGGAGTGCAATCTGTTGAGCTTTATACGGATTGTCAGACGCTACAAAAATATTTGACACCACCGTATCAATTACCAAGATCATATATTGGCTATGCTCTAGATGGATGCAGAAACCATATTACTACTTTTACATATTGTCATGTTCATTTTATTCCTAGATCGCAAAATTATTTAGCACATAGTTTAGCAGCCTCGGCTTCTCAGTATGATACAGCTATGTATTGGGATGATATCCCACCTGATACTATTTCAGCTTATCTATAAATACAACCCATTGGTTGACCTTCAAAAAAAAAAAAAGCTCCTATGTCTCCCCATAGTACTGGTTAACTATAATGACAATAAGCCTTTGTTTTCACATTTATTTTCCTTTCAAAATCTTTTAAAAATTAAGTGACCTAAAGGAGATGCCAATATTCTAGCCAAGAAATGCTGCTTCAGACCTCACAAACCAGAAATTTGATTAAATAAAACACAAATAAGATAGCTAAATAACTAATTTCAAAGTTGTGGAAGCAACTACTATGTAAAATTAACATACAAGCAACAGACCACCGAACCCTACAACCAACCAACCCTAAACCACTAACCCAGCAAAACTAAAGTAGGAAGAAGCAGAAGAACTGTAAACTCAGTGAAGATTTTGGACAAAATTAAACATTAATTACATCATTCAGGCTTTAAACTAGAAACAAACCTTGTTATACAAAGATTCGCGACACCTTGCGTGTAAACGAAGCATTTGGCTTCTGATCCTGCAAAATTCACAAGAAAATATTCAAATAGGAATAGATAGGAAAAGATTCACAAAAGCACTAAATCCGCAAATAAGATTGATTTGAGGGAGAGAACGAATATGAACATAGAACACTTACCATGAGGGAAAGAACGAGAGGGAATATCATCCGTATAGTATGTCGATGACGAGCCACGGGTAGAGAGGCGCAGACGGAGAAGACTGAGCGATCAACGGAGCTGAGCAGCGATAGTGAGAGACAGATATGCGAGAGCTTTTTTAGGTGAGGAGTGAGAATAGATGAGCGGTGGAAATGAAATGAAATGAAATGAGGGTTAAGTCTCAAGTCTCAAAGTCTAATCTTAGCAATATATACAATAAATAATTTCTATTTTTTTTTTAAAAAAAGAGCATTTCCGACCACCAATTAGATGGTGGTCGAAAATTCCAACCTTTTTCTGTCCAACCATATCTTTTGACGGAAAATTAAAATGATTTCACTTTTTGTGACAATTTTTATGAGTTGTCGGAAAAGTGGTCAGAAAAATGATAATTTCCAGCAGTGATATACATGTACGGTACGTTGCAATCCTTGTTGCCTAACTCAATTACCTAACATCGTCATAAACCCTATTACATGTTGGGCCCAATACTATACTCGTAGTTCTAAAACACGTGTACATAGTTATACGCATACGTACCAAGTTTTGACCTAGAAAACGATCTGAGAGAAACTGGGAGAAATCTGGGAAACCTAAACCAAGTGGTCACTTCAAAACTATTTTTGGAAGAAATTCATCTTGACCCCCCCCCCCCCCCCCCCCCCCCAAAAAAAAAAAAAAAACTATTTTAAAGCTATCCTTCTAGACTTTGGCCCATGTTGCATGGTGGACCACAAGCTCCCAATGACTTGTCTGATACTCTCGATCATTAAGATAAGAACCCCTGAACAAACATTTATACATAAATAGGTATGTCCCTACTATTCTAAACATACTCCCATAAAGCTTCTATTATATATATGTATACGTTCCTAAAGTATGTAGTAATCCCAATTATATTCGTATGCTACACTTACACGCATATTATTATTATTATTATTATTATTATTATTATTATTATTATTATTATTATTATTATTATTATTATTATTATTATTATTATTATTATTATTATTATTATTATTATTATTATATCCTAACCCTAATCACTTTGCCTAATCCTAAATAATACATATGTACCCTAGCTATGTTAATCCTATATGTATCTACAAGTTTACACTTAGCGTATCCTAACCCCGAAATATTATTCCGTACAAATTACATTACTCTTATATACATACACACATATCCTGAGATAACCCTAATTCTATATTTCCTCCTCGCATAATCTTTCTGTTGCCACTCCTATCTTCCCTAAATAATTAAAAACTTTAGCCTCATCATCAGGTCATCAATTGATTCAGGAATTAGCAATCAAGGGTCTTCAATTCTAAGTTGTTTAGGTATTCTGGGATTCTAGAGGTAAGATTTATGCCTACCTAAAATTTATTTACCCCGAGATAAAATTGATTTTCCTAAGTGCTTGTGTGATCAAATTCTGTCAAGATTTCTCAAAGATAAATCTTTTAGTATTTATGAACCTAGGTTATTTTACTCGTAATTATTAAGAAATATTTGTATGCGGATTGCATGTTCAAATTGTAGGTGGAGATTTATAGTTTCATGGTGTATGTATTGTGTGTCAAATCAGATAGCTTGCATGTTTGTGTTAAAATACATACTTACACACATTCATGTATATATAAAGCATGATAGACAAAACTGTGTGTTATAAGGCATCTCACTATGCATATATACAATATTATTAATTGCAAGCAATCTGCATATACGTGCCAATACTTGTATACTTAGTATGCCATGAACAATCTCGTATAACACCTCGTGTATTCATGGCGTACGAATTAGACATAAAGTATTCGTCTATGAAATCCGGTGAAATATTCCGTATGTGCTAAACGTTAGTATTTATGTAAATATTTGTTATGTGATTATCCATCATTATTCGTGATGTGCAATATGAGGGTCCTAATTCTATCGTCTCCCAAAAAGTTTATTTACCCCATAAGAAGCAAGAACATTTATCCTAATTGCTTACATGAAGATCTTTTCATCAAAAACTAATCTTTTATTAGTTTGGGTAATTGTTATACAATTTATGACCTTCCTGAATTTATATGACAATTGTTTGGTTATCCCACAATGTTGACTACGTGAATTTGTTTGTTAATCATGCACTAGCTTAACATGTTGAACAATACGTTTATGTGTTGTGTGATTCATAGGACTAGTTATTATTTAAGACTTGAAATATGTTCACATGCTTTCATACTCTATGCCTATAGACTTAAGAAAATTGCATATTTAGCATAATTACAACCGTATACATATAGGCACGCCAACTTGCAGGTTCCGCATATAACATAATAGTTAATTATCATACGTGTTAGGCTTGTTATTTTGTAATTATGAGTATTTGGTATAGTCTGTTTAGCACCATGATTAGGTATAGATCATGTATATATGGCATTTGGCTCACCATATGCTACACTACTGATGGTTTTTGGGTTTTCAAGCCCAAGGAGGTCCAACACAACCTTCGGCTAGAGGATACACCTTTCAATAAAAATGTATGCCTATCTCGGAGATAATTCTAATACTCGGAATCTTTTTGGTATTCTCCCCTCTCCGGGTGTTCAATTGTCTGTCCTTTTACAAGGGTGTAGGAGCCTTTAAATAGCGACTCCTCTTCTACCGACTTGAAGGCCCTTAATGGCCGACTTCAAGACTAATTAAGATATGGAGCCGTTGGACGCCATTACTTGGTCGACCAACGGCTCTTCCAGGTTTGTAACAGCCTGACCGGGTCCTGCTTTCAATGCCCTAACGGCTCCCTTTTAAACAAGCCTCTTCAATGCTCTCAACGGCTCCTTGAACCGAGTCTCCTCCTGGGCTTGGGCCTTGGTCGACTCCTCGTCTCAGCCTGAGCTCCCACTGGGCTCCTCTTTAGCAGTTCTGATCCGGGCCCCGTGCCTAGGCCCGGGCCGACTCCAGGACTCGGCCCAATTGCTCTTCGGGCTCCCCAGACGCTGGCCCACCTCTCCTGTCT